TTTGATGGTGCCTACTGGTCCAAAACTAATCTTACCACTAGGGTTATTCTGTCTAATCTTTTATTTCTCATTTTTAACATCTGGAAGTTCTGTAACATAAAATTTACATTTTAGTTAAAATCAGACATATCATTTAAAAATTAAAATCTTGGTCAAAATACCTTCACTCATTGCTGCTTCATAGTGTCAAATGATACCAGCAGTCTCTCTACACAAATATATTTATATACACAATCTAGTATGTGTGTGCACGTATTTATATATATATATTTATATATATATATATCTTGAAAAGAAAAGACAAAAGAAAGGAAAAATAAATAAGTGTGAAGAATTTAAAAGGAAAAACAATCTAGGAAAACTAAAAAGAACAAGAGTGCCTAGGACCAATGGCTAGTTCCTGGTCTAGGGCAAAGAAGGCATTATGTGACGCTCGAGCATTTTGTTCTAAAGAAATCAAGTGGCATTTGAAATTAATGAGATGACATCAAAACAAGTAAACAGATATAAGGAACCTGCACTGACTAAAGTTGCAAAAAAAAGCACCAAAAGAATTTCAAAATCCAAGAATTAGTGTTCATAAACAATAATGCCAAAAAAACCTTATAGATCAAGATTTGATAAAGTATTGCCTTACTGTGAAATTGGTGATGAAAGTAAAATCAGTAAACATCCATCTTCTTTTCGAGTAGGACTTTAGAGTAAGCAAATAGCTCCAGTAAATGAGGAAAAGCTCTATATTATAAAAAAATACTAGCTTATATTTTTTAAAAAAAGATAGGGTTGAGCTTGTATTTTTAAGTCAATATAGACTTAAAATATATTAGTAAAACTTGCAGAACCACATGAAAATAATTCCAGATCTGAAATCAAAACAACATTATAAAACTTTCCTCTGAATGATAAACACATAGAACAATTATAAAATTCATTATTGTTATAAGAGATTTGAAAAACTCAAACACAATGTAATGAAAATATATAGTAAATTGTGCCATGAAATTGCTAAATGTACAATTTTTTTTACTATACATATCATTTAAAAAATTTAAATTCTAAACAATAAATTGACAACAAATATCAGAGAATCATAATCATGCAGGCTATTTTCTGGAGACCATGCAATTAAAATATGAATTAGTTACCAAAAAATTCCCCAAATACATATTTTTGGAAAATTCTACAAAAGATATAACAAAAGAAAGACAATTTCTAATATGTGTGTAATTGGATATTCAGAAGAAGATAGCAAATGAGATGGCAGCAATATTTAATGATTTAATGGCTAAAAATTTTTCAGAACTGATGATGAATTTAATCCATCAATTACATAAGCTCTACAAGCAAGAGAAATACAAACAAAATCACATTAATTCATATAATTTTCAAACTACTGAAAACTAAAACAAAAAGAAAACTTTAATAACAGAGAAATAAAATATACAGTAATGGACCACATAATGATGTTTCAGTCAATGACAGACTATCTATATGACAGTAATTCATTCAGATTATAATGAAGCTAAAAACTTTTGTTTTGTGATAATGTAGCTGTCATAACATTGTGCCACAACTCATTTACTCATTTACCTGTTTGTGAGAAATCTGTTGTAAACAAACTTACTGCTTTGTCAATGATATAAAAGTGTAGCACACACAATTCTGTACACTATGTAATACTTGATATTGATAATAAATGACTATTACTGGTTTATGTATTTACTAAACTATACTTTTAATCATTATTTTAGATACTCTTTCTACTTATTTAAAAAAAACAGTAGATTGTAAAACAACCTCAAGCTGGTCTTTCAGAAGCTATTCCAAAGAAGACATTGTTATCATAGGAGTTAACAGCTCCATGCATATTACTGCCACTGAAGATCTTCCAGTGGGACAAGATATGGAGGCAGAAGATGGTGATATTGATAATCCTGACCCTGTGTAGGGCTAAGCTAATGTGTATGTTTATGTCTTAGTTTTTAACATAAATGTTTAAAATGTAAAAGAAAATTAGAATATAGGAAAAAGCTTTTGGAATAAAAATATGAAGAAAGAAAAAATTTTACAGCTGTACAATGTGTTTGTGTTTTAAACTGTTATTATAAAAGAGTCAAAAGTTAAAAATAATTAAAAACTTATAAAATAAAAAAAGTTACAGTACCCTCCTTTTCTTGGCAGGGACTGGGTGCGTGTTCCAGCTCCCCAATATGTACAGAGGCAGAGGGAAAGGGCGCTGGCCCCATCAGCATCCTGTCTTTGATGCCAGGGGCTTCCCATCTGCAAGTTCTATCCTCAAGCACTGGGACACCAGGTTTCTTGGGGAAAAAAATTACAATAAACTAAGGTTAATTTATTATTGGAGAAAGAAAAAAATGTTGATAAATTAGTATAGTGTACAGTATTTATAAAGTCTACAATAGTGTACAGTAATATCCTAGGCCTTCACATTCATACACTACTCATTCACTGACTCACCCAGAGCAACTTTCAGCTCTGTAAGCTCAATTCATGGTAAGTGCCCTGTATAGGTGTACCATTTTTAAATTTTTTACACTGTATTTTTACTGTACCATTTCTGTTTCTATATATTTAGATACACCAATACTTACCATTGCATTACAATTTCCTATAGTATTCAGAACAGTAATATGCTGTACAAGTTTGTAGTCTAAGAGCAATAGGCTATGCCATATAGCCTGGGTGCATAGTAGGCTATACCATGTAGGTTTGTGTAAGTCCACTCTGTGATGTTCACACAATGATGAAACAAATGCCAAACAAAGCATTTCTTAGAATGGATCTCTGCCAATATTTTCTTTTAATGCTATAATAACGTATTTTTATTTAAACTTCTCTTGTTTCTTTAAGAAGTCTCTGTCAGTTTTGCCTATGTTCATTGCTGCATTATTCAGAATAGCCAAGACACAGAATTGACCCAATCATCCATCAAAGGTGAATGGATAAGGAAAATGTTTTTCATATTTTACACACACACACACACACACACGCCCCATACAAATTCACAAAATTCCTATGGAACCCGTGAAGACTCCAAACACTTGAAGCAATCATGAACAAAAAGATACATGCACATACACACACAAAATGGAATTTTATTCAGTCTTAAAAATAAAGAAATCCTATCATTTGTAATAGCATCAATAGAGCGAGAGGATATTATGCCACATGAAGTAAGTCATGCACAGAAAGACAAATACTGTATGTTCTCAGTTACATATGGAATCTAAAAAAAGATGAACTCACTAAAGCAGAGATAAGAATGGTGGGTTTCTAAAGGTTGTGGGTAGGGGGAATGAGGACATGTTGGTTAAAGGGTACACATTTTCAGTTATGCAGGATGAATTATTTTTGGAGATTTAATATGAAGCATGGTGGCTATAGTTAATAATACTGCTCTGTATACTTGAAATTTCTTAAGAGAGTAGATCTTAAATTTTCTCACCACACCATAAAAGAGGTAACTAGGTAAGGTGATGGATATGTTAATTACCTTGATTATGGTAATCATTGCACAATGCACACATATATGAAAACATCACATTGTACACTGTAAATATACACAATTTTTATTTGGCTATTGTAGTTCAATAAAGCTGGGGAAATTTTTCAAAGAGTTGAAGGAAGGTAAAAAAATGCATGTTGTAAATGTGTATAATTTTTAAAGAAGTTTTGTTATATAGAAGAACCAACAAATAGGAATGTGTACTGCAAGAGAACAAAGATACAAATTGAGTTTAAAATAAAAGACAGGAGATGTCGAGCATATTTATGTTGAAAATAACCCTTTAGAGAGGGGAATTAGTGACTAAGGAAAAGATAAAAGGAAACTGCCGAATAAGACCCTGTCAAACTAGGAAGAAAATGGAACAAGAAACAAAAGAAGTTTCGACCTTTAGGAGAAGTAAAGATACTTCTTTCATGGTAAGAGAAAGATAGAGGCAGAAAGATTTAAGGCCTGATGCCAGTAGAAGCATCATTTAGAGTGAGAAAATCAGAAAGTTACTGTTTAGTTGTTTCATTTTCTCACTAGTAATTTCCTGAGAGTTAAGGAGGGACTTATGTGGAGCTTTTGGAAATAATAAAAGGTTGTAAAATTTTATCTTGGAAAACGTCTATTAATTTGGATTGTTTGGCAATATTCACTGCCAATGGAAAACCAGTAGTACTGGTTTTGCAATTTTTCAAATTATCCCCCAGGTCATCAACATTGAAACTAACAGGATGTAAACTCTTGCCCAGACCGAACATTATCAATACTTTCTATCTGTGCCAATGTAATATAAGATTTTTTTAAAATGCATTTTATTCTATACCTCTTTGATTATCAGAGTGGGAATGTTTCCTTGTTTGTTTATTGTTGTATTGACTGGAAAAGGGTAAGGCTAGAGGCCAGGACATAAGACATAAGCCATAAGACAACCTGCCATAAAACAGATTGAGTATTCCTAACCCGAAAGTCAAAAATCCAAAAACACAGTTGAGCATCAACATGACACTCAAATCTCATGCTCAAAGGAAATGCTCATTGGACCATTTCAGATTTCAGCTTTTCAGATTAGGCATGCTCTGTGTAAGTGAATATAATGGTGGCCTGAATAAAATGAATATTAGTATGTTTGTATATATATCACATTATGAAAATAAAGCACATTGAGTCCATTGAAGACCAGCTGTCTGTCTTCCATGAAGCTACAAAGGGTGAATTTCCCACACTTTTATCAATCTGCATTATAAGTTTGAGTTTTCTGAAACTGAATTTTATCAGAAAATCAAGAAAGACTACATTTCTCAGTGGATACTTTCACATGAACAAAAGCTAAAAACTTAAAATTTACTTTTATCTTTCATCTTTAAAATAGTGAGAATAAAATGAGATGATGTATTTATCAGCATATCTAAAACAATAGATGCTGAATGCATGAAAGCTTAATATTATATATGAAATTAAAATGTTAATTTATTATTAATTGCCACCGAGGAAGAACGTCAAGTTGAGTGTTATTTTTGCATAATCAGGGCAAATTACACGCTCCTACCTACACAAAGAAAAGCTAATTTTCTTTATGATCGTGATGAAAAGTACATGAATGGGTGAGGAAGTAAAGGCAGAACTTTTTGACAATACCTTCAAAAGTTAGATTATAAAGCAATGAAAAAATAAAAATAGTAACTAAAATGGGAAGTCTGGTTAAAAACTGTTTTAAATTTGAATTTAGTTTTTTTATTTTATTAGGTTGGTATTATGAGTTGAATTTTGCCTATCCCCCAAAAACAGATATGTTAAAAGATTAACCCTTAGTATCTCACAAAATGACTTTATTTAGAAATATGTTCATTGCATAAATAATTAGTTAAGATGAGGTCATACTGGAGTAGTTGAGCCCCTAATCCAGTATGACTTGTGTCCTTATAAGAACATGACCATGTGAAGGCAGAGACATGGAGAATGCCATGGGACACCAAAGCAGAGATGGAAATTCTGTATCTGCAAGCCAAGGAACACCAAAGATCTCCAGCAAACCACCAGAAGCTAGGAAGAGGCAATCCAGAACTGTGAGATAAGATTGTAAGTCACCCAGTTTGTGATACTTTGTTATGGCAGCCCTAGAAAGTTATTATAATATAACTTGGGGATACTCAGGGTATTTAAATGTTGTTGGGAATGGGTCACTAGGAAGGGAGACAAGATGGTAGAAGAAAGAAAGGCTATTGGTGGAGTATGTTCCTGAAGGAAGAGATAGGAAACACTCAGAGATATGGCCCTAGCAGGAGAGACATTTCTGAACTGTAGTGAGAGGAAAGAAGAAGGTAAGATAGTTTCTAGCTATGATTCACATTTTTCTCTAAAACTTATGAAGTGAAATCATCATCTGATGATGAGCTGGACCCTGGTGTCAAAGAAGATTTGAGAGAATGGAGAATATTTGAAGTGATCTCTGCAGAGAATGAGAGAGAAAGCTGAGGATCTGCAAGATTGCCAGTCTCCAGATTCAAGAAGAGCATTAACAAATGAATGCATTTGCAGTTTGGTTTGATATAGGGATAATTTAAAACTTGTCTCCTTATTTTATCTATCCTACTTTGAAAAAAAATTTGGCAATAAACATTTTGAGTATTATAATTTGAAACCCATAGTAGATATTCATATGTTTTGTTGCCCCCTTCACATCATTTAAGATAACTATTCATTTCTTTCAAGGTCTGTATTCAGACTGTGAGGTTCTAGATTTGTGTACCATCCAGTAAGAAATGGGTGATCACTGAATTAAAGCTTGTGGAAGCTACATGACCAGAAAAGGTTGAATTCCCATCAGACCTATAAATTCACCTAGTCCTTGAATGTATTTCAATATATGCAGTCATTTATTAAGTAAAATGGCATACTAATATTTTACAGTTTGATATATGTAATAAATGAGTCCCTTGATAGTAGAGTTAAATAATATAGAGGCAGAGTTGTTCACTAGCAAATTTAACAGTTTATTAACATAGATAAAAGCTGTCCAGTTAACACAAATATAAAATATTAAGCTGATATGGAATTTCAAGAGGATTCTTATTGGTTCCTTGAGACATAGGTTTAGGATTGTATTTAGTTTCCATCATCCTGATCCATACAAATAAATAAATATCTAATTAGCTATATATATGTCTGGGAAATATTAAAAAAGAGTATCTGCTCATAAGGGGATAAAGCAAAGCTCAGCATAATAGGAACATTTTGTTTTTTTTACAGGAACATTTTGTTTTTTTAATTTTTATTTATTTATTTACTTTCATCCTAAGTAACACAAATTTACTGAGAATTCCTGGGTTAGTGGTTATCTCCTCCCAGTCTTCAGGGAGGGAGCAACACTAGGAAATCACTGAGAAATAACACAATGTCCCAACACCCCTGGCCAATACGATGGAGGAAAGTCATTCCCCAGAAAAAAGGCTGGTCTTCAGTCTTCCTTAATCCAAGAGGGGTAGTGAGGCCAGGTGTGGGTACAGGGGACCATCACATGATACTGGGGGTGGGTGGGAGTGTGCTGGGCTCCTAACTGGCTACTCAAAAACTAGAGAAGCAGATCCACTTGCTCTCTGGGGTTGGAGTGCTTGATTCCCAGGCTCCTTACTTACCCTTGATGAGGCTGCCACTTCCCCGGGTGAAACTTTCCTCCTGTAGGTTCAGCACAAGGTTGTCAGCAGTGAGATAAACACGATTCTGTGATGTGACAGTCATCTTGGAAATGTTCTGGGCTGCCGGGATCTTGCAGAGTTTGATGTTGCCAGGGTTCTTGCTCGGCGCTTCTCCAAGGTGAGCAGGGTGGGATTAAGGGTTCAATAGGGGCAGGTCTCATCCCTGGCTCCATTCACACCACTCCTTCACTCCAGTCCTTTTCTGGGATGTCAGATCCAAGGTTGCTCTGGCTCAGATAGCTCATGCTCAGCCCTACTTTGGGCCCCACCTGTGGAGTTCCCTGCAGGCTGCTGCCAGGAACTGGGGGCAGCAACAGAAATGGAGGCATGGCCAGTAGTGCTATTGATCTGGCCTTACAGAACAGGAACATTTTAAATGAAAAGTGTAACTAACCAGGAGGAGTAAGGATATATTTATGTATCATTCTAGACCAAGCCCACATTCTTTTTGATGATGTTACTAGGCTAGGCTATTGGTTTAAAGTTATATTATATTATATATATTTTTTAATTAATATTTATTTATATGTAAAACGAAGACACAAAAGTCAATTAGTTATTAAAATGATGAACAAAAATAGTGTTGTGTTGACACTAAATGAATAGAATGTTGTCAAAAGAATACCAAAGTCCAAACATGCATGGTACATGGTCTCAACTACTCAAGGGGCTGAGGTGGGAGGATCTCTTGAGCTCAGGAGTTCGAGTGCCGCCTGGGTAACATTAGTGAAACTGTTTCTAAAAGAAAAAATAAAAACAAAAATTCCAAAGTCTTCATTTCAAGTCCTTTCCGGGAGCTTAGCCTCATCTATTTTCATATTTTCCAATGCTCTCCAATGCTCTCTTCAAATATGTTCCTCTGCTGAGTAGCAATGCTACTTAGCAGGGGAATCAAAGGCACAAGTTCTGCAACAATTCAACTATATTTGGAATTCCATTCTACTGGTCACTAGCTATCGGACCTTAGCAAAGTCATTTGTTCCCCATATCCTATAGTTTCCCAGTCTGTGAAATGGAAATAATAATATTATGTTTAGCATTGTTGTGAGGATTAAATGAGTTACTACATTAAAAGTATTTAGAGCAGAGCCTAATACAAATTAAGAACTAAACAAATATTTAATATTGGAATTAACATCATTATGTTCCCTATCTTGGCTAATAGCATTGTTATCTGCTCAGTTGTACAAACCGAGCATCAGCTTTAAGTCTCACATTTTTATCACATATGTGTCATAAATAATTTGTGGACATGTGCCCTGGTCTATATCTTTAATGTTCAAGCTTTAATATAGATCTCCAGAATATATATGTTTATTTATTTATTAAATAAATATAAATGAATATAAATTGCCTTTCACCTGGACAATTAGAGTGTGTCTCATAACTCTATCTAATCCCATCTGCCCACACTAAGATTCGTTTTCCACATCATTTATCATATCTTTTTTCTGATATCCATATCTAATAATGCTACTTTTTTTCTTAAAAGGTTTAAAAGTTTCCAAGAAAAAGTTTAGATTTCTCACTATTACACATCAAGCTTACTATACAAGGTCACTGTTCTCTGAACTGGTTCTGCTTTTTTTACACCTCGCTGCCCTGCACTATTTTCCCTCCACCTCTCACTTGTAGTGCTTCTCCCTCCCTTCTCTCCTTAATAATGATCCCCTCTTCTTCTCATCTTGCATTAGTCACACCTCTCTCTTTGACCTTTTAGCATAAATATTCTTCAGTAACAATGAGAGCAGCAGTAACAATAGTTAATTGATGTTAATGTACAATTATGTGTCACACACACTATTATAGAGACAGGTATTTCCTTACTGACTCCTCAAAACAATTCCATAATGTCGGTATTGTTAGCATCTTCATTTAACAAATAAGCCAACTGGAGCAGAAGAGTTGAGCACTTGTCCAAGGGCACCTGGATGGTGAGATACAGAGCAGGCTTTGAATCAGTGCAATATGATTGAGAGCTGAAGCTCTAAAATACTAAAGACAACTGCCACCCCCCAACTACAGCACCCATATAATATAGCATATTATACTATCATAAAACTCTACATCCCTGTCTCTTCCAACATATAATATTTTCTTTATATTGACCATTAATATCAGACTCTTCATCTCCAGGGTCTAATTCAGTGGATGGAATACAGAATGTACAATAATTATAAAAGAACAAAGGAATGAATGAGTGAAATCAGATAAAATAAGTAGTTCATAATGAAATTACCTTTCCTGCCTTGTGGAAATAATGTTTACCCATTTTTATATTAATATTACTATTTCTTTATGTTTTTCTTTCAACTTCATTAAAGGAAAAGCATAGGAAAATTAAATTTAAATGGTACTTCTACAGTTGAATTAATATTTGTCCAGATCTATACAACCACAAGTAAATCTTATCATTAAAGAGCTATTTTGAATAATGCTGCAATGAAGATGAGAGTGTAGATATCTCTTCATTATACTAGTTTCAATTTCTTTGATATATGTTCAGAAGTAGGATTATACAATTATTATTTATCATTAAAAACATAATTAAGTTAAAATTTTAAAAAGGAAGTATGTTTGCTTTTGTTTGTCAGTTTTTCAAATCCTAAAAGCACTAGTGTTAGTGTTGGTGTAGACTTTTAAAACAGACTTTCATCAAATTGGGTCATTTGAATTCTAAAAGTCTGATCTCTTTTTCTAAGGTTGTTAGATATAGCCACTGTAATAAAAAATTAGTGTAAGTGAAATTGTTTTAATATCCCAAAGTCAAGACTCATAAAAACATGTATGTATTTAGTTTAGTCAGTAGAGTATAACTTCAGCATAATTTCCAAAGCATCTCATGGATATACTACAGAATGGCCCCATTCAGCTGAAATACATGATTTGATTCTTGCCTAAAATACATTTCTTTCTGAAATATATTTTTCCTAGATTAGTGAGACCAGGTGCACTAGTGGTTTTTCAAAAAGTTAGATTTGGTTTTACAATACTTATCTGTCTTCATTGAGCCTCTGACTGTCCAGAGGTTTTCAAACTCAATTTTATGTATGTCTCTACTTTTTAATAACTATATGAAATTAAAATTATATAATATATGCTTAACTGATATTTATTCATTTACTCAATTTCCTAACTTATTTCTATGAAGGAAAGATATAAAATCTTCTATATGCTTTATACTTTAGCTGCAGTTCAGATAATTTTGTGTTTAATTTCTTAATTTTCAAACATATGGGGATTTTTGTCTTCTTGCTATTAACTTCTAATTAATTACATTTATCAAAGAAATACAATCTGTAAAATTAGATTTGAAATAAACATTTTATATAGAAAATTTCAATACATAGTTTTCTGTAAAACTCAAATACTAAGAATCTATTGTAAGAAAATAACTGAAAACATACACAAAGATTTAGTCATAAGGACTTTCTATACATTTTTCTTTATAAACACAAAAATTTTGAGAAAAATATTACATGTGATAAAAAAAGTACAAATAAATTACTCTGTAGTTAAAATCATGATTCAAATCTAATAACATTCAAATATATTTAAAAATTAAGTGAAAATAATATAATAAAAAGAATATATTTATTATATTTTCATTGTGTGGGTATACCTGGAAGGCAAAACTCTGAAATTCTTATATTGTTGTATGGTAATATTGGGATGATTTCTATTTATTTTACTTATCTACATTTTTAATGTTTCTAACATGTATTACTTTAAAAAAAAACAGTTGTATTTTAAAGCTTTCTGTTCATATAAACTATACATAAGACTAAAATGTTTAAGTTCCATTTAATTCCGTCTACCCTGAATGTTTAGGACAGAGATAATGCAAATAGAAACTTTTGTTGGCCTTGAAGGGAAACAGTTAAAACTTTTTAGTTCAAAACACATCAACAATTGTGGATATATTTAACACACACACAAATAATTTCTACTTTTGCTACTTAAGTTTCTTTAAATTGGCCAGTCTTGACAACTCAACTTGACTCAAAACTTTGAGTTACAACTAGACTTGCCTCTATAGTCTCTAAAATGTTTAAAACAAAAGTGGACTCATTATTAACTCACCTTTTCTAACAAACATTAATTGATGCATAATAAAACTTTAATGTAACAATAGAAAAATTATACAAACTTCTGTAGAAGTTATAAGCTATGGGAGTCCAATATAATTTTTTTGACATCTGTTCTTATTCTGATTAATCTTTCCTATGTGTATCATTACTCTTCTACAGACTGAATAAATTTAAAATTTATTATTTAGTTTAGCCATTTGACTTGCAAGTCAGTGAAATTCGAAATAAAGGAAAGAAATTGTACTTACTTGCTAATCAGTCTACATGACAAAATATAGACGTATGCTGATTTAAAATGCTATTTATTTGATCCATAATAAAATGCTTGGTAATACCTTAAAGGAAATAGAATTTCATTCTTTAAAAGGCTTCAAGCCTGAAGATTATTAAACTTATTAATCTCAGCTAAGATTTTTTTAAATGTTGAGTAGAATAGAAAAGTAGATTAAATGTGGGGAAAATCAGGTATCCCACAATATCTCGTTTGGAGCTTATGGTTCTCTAGCATAAATAAATTATATCAAATTGTGCAATGGAATGACAATGATTCATTGACACAAAATTATACTTTTGATTTATTATTAAATAGCATTTTCAAGAAGATTATATGGTCTAGTTTTTAAAATGTGTTGTGTATGGATATATTTTTATTAAAGTGGGGAGGGTATATAAAGATAGTTATCAGATCATCCTGAATAATGGAGTCATTGGTGATTTTATTTTCTCTTCTTAATCTACTTTTGAACAATTTTATTGTAAAAATAGTTATTTTTACATAAATTAGTCTAATTTCATGTCCATTTTATACTGGAATCCTGGAACTACTAGTTTTCTCTTCTGTGTACCATAAAGATAATTCCCTAAGCAAACAAGGTCAGCAAAATATTTAGGGCCAATAATATTTCCCTATTATCAAATATCTACTTAAAAATAAGTTTAATGCCTACAAGTGTCATCAATTATTTATCTGTTTTGTTTAGAGAGGTTCTGAAAGAGCAGTATTATTTAGTATCACTTTGGTAAAATAGCCAATGTGATAGGCAAAGATATAAAAAAGGGCATAAATATTAGAGAGAGAAAAATATCATTATTGCAAATATGATTCCCTCTCTGAAAAGCATACAAAAATAAACCGAAAAACTCTTAGGACTATTAGGTAGTTTAAGAGATGGCTAGCTAAAAATACAATAACAATACAATAACTAGTAAGAAATAATTGAGACAATCTCTTTGGCAAATATTTTAAATTGGCTCACTCAACTATTATTTCAACAACAAATTTGCCTTCCTGTGTGTTACAAAGGTTTAAAATCTAATGTAAAATCCTATGTTCCTTATTGCAAGATGTAGGTATATGTCTTAGTTTGGAAAAATCCTTTGTGCCTATATAAGATTTGGGTGCAGAATGAATTCCGTGAGATACTCTCAACATGAGGGAAGTTCTCATATTCTGGTAAGCATGGAGATAGAGGCATCTGGTTTTTCTGAAGCAGCTATGATAGCAATTTGGCATCCAGTCCCGTTACCATCATTGGTGCGGAGCAAGAGATGCTGATAATAGGAAAATTTCTAAAAGAACATTCCCACCATGTGATTGGGCAGTTTTCCTGGCTGATTGTTTCTGTTGCGGTAACATCAAAACATGGTATTCCAGCATTCCCAGTGAGGCTGTGAGCTATTTTAAAATAAATTGATTTCCACTTATAATAACAATATTTGACTTCATTTTTGACAATGACAATCTTTTACTAATTCAATGGAGCATTACTAAGTAAATAAATGGATAGATGACAGAGAGATAATCTAAAAGGACATATATGCATTTATATAAATATTAACATTGGGTATACTCTGTATCATGATATTTAAGGTAATTTTAACCTCCCTTATTTTTTAAAATTTTTACTGTGCTAATAATGTTCATTTGCTGCAAAGAAATCATACAATATAAAGTAGAAATACTAAGTCCACCCAGAGATTTTCATCACTACTCCATAATTACATAGCAAGTAGTACCAAAAATAGAATAATCTTTGTGGCAGAGCCGGCCAGTTGTCCAATGAACATCTAACATACACTATCAAATAAACACATATCTGTTGTCTCTTTATGGGGACACAGCAAGACTGCAGTTCTCAGCCTCCCTTACAATTGGGTGTGGACACATGGTTGTTCTAATGAATGGGTTGCAAAAAGAAATGATGTGTAAAATTCCCAAGATTGGCCCATATAAACTTCCCATGAGCAACCTTCATGCTCTCCACTCCCAACCCTGGCTGATGGTAATATCCCCGGTGACCTTGGAATCCACATGTTGAAGATGACAGAGGACTCATCAGTCAGCTCTGTATGTCTGCATAGAGAAAAACCAGCTATCAACCTGAATAAGAGCCGGGACTACTATATGAGGAAGGAAATAAACCAGTTTTTTTAAGGTACTGGAATTTGGGGTCTACTGCGTCATCCTACTCAACATTAATACAGTCTACACTTCTTTCATTATCTGCCTTTTCCTTGGGCCTTAACCCCTTCAAATTAGGATGACTTGTGGTATTTTTCTATAAATTTTACTTACTGTCCCCAAAAGATGCCAGCCTTTAGTTCCTGGAGACTATTTCTTAAAATCCTCATCTGCAATACAGCTCACAAAAATTGCTCAAAATTTATAGAGTAAATGTTGGTCCTTTCCTCTAGTTTGAATGTTAATAAATTATTTTTCATTATCTTGCTTTTCTGTGGAAATTCCTATTATTTAGTTAAAGAAGACTGATTCCCTGTTCCTACATTGACATATTTTACTGAAATTTTGATTTAGAATGATTTCTTCTTTTTTAAT